CCTAGTAGCGATGCCAGGAGCCCCTAGTAGCTTTTTGTTCATAGTAGTAATGCCAGGAGCTACTAGTAGCGATGCCCTTGTTACCAATAGCGATGGCCTCCAACACTCAATTTGCATTCGCCGTGACATCGTGTGACTCAGGGTGGTATGGAGCGCTAGTCGCAGTGGCATCGTCGTGCCAGGAAACTGACCAAGCACTGCAAGACAGACCAGGGTGTCTATAGAGGCTTGCAACAAAATGTGTGAACATATTATCCTTGAGCAAGGCATCAACATTGGAGTGATTCCAAGAATTCAACCAATCTGGATGGGGAAACCCCTGTGTTTGCTCATGTGTTGGACTAAGCCTTTGAAGCAACATCGTCAGGAGCCAGCTTGGGCCAAAGCCTGCCTAAAGGCGTGGTTTGTGACCTCACTCGGGAACCGCAAAGCGGTTGGGAACCGCCAGAGCACCGAGGCTTTTCAATTCCGCGGGCACGAAACCCAGTGTTTCTTCTCTCTCTTTCAGAGAAGAGGCAGATGTGAAGCACTGAGGCAGCCTTTGTCACAGCTCCTCCCGTTACAGCTCTTTGGGTGCCAATCCCAAAGCCGATCCAAAAGAAAAGCAGCACGCCGATGGATATTGATCACAGAACAGTTTTTTTCTCTTGCAGGTTTCAGTCAAGCCCCACCACCATCATCGTTTTCTTCGGTCAGTTGTTAAACAAACGTTTTAGTAGTGGGGATGGGTTTTGCGAGAAACTACACCTGGATCTGATTGGCTTTGTGTCACTCTGTGCCGCAGTTCGTCACTAAGGCATGGAAGCAAGCGCAAGCATTTGAGGCACTGAAATGTTGATGAAAGGACAGTCGGACAGTTGATAGGTTGGTAGAGGTATGCGCCCCGTAATCAAGAACAGTTTGTATCGATGGTGAGGATAGCTGTTTGTTACCTAAGCACAAACAACTGAAAGGACAGCATCGTCCCAGTTGCTTCATGTTGGCTATTTCATCCCATTTCCTTCAAATTTGACAACTAGATGATCCAGACATCTGACCCTTGGAATCAGGCGACTGGTGGCCAAGGCCCATTGTCAAGCCTCAGAGCTGATTTTTCTCGACAACGAGCCGGGAACCCCGAGACTCCAACAGCCAGCGATATATCTTTAGTATAAGAGGACGCTACTAGGAACAAGTGCATCGCTACTAGGAACAAGTGCCTTACTAGTAGTAACAAGAAGCTAGTAGAAACAATATATAAGTAGAAACAATAAGCTACTAGATGGGAGAGGCTGCTGTAGATCACGTTGACAGTTCATGACAGTTCATAAGGTCTGTGTCATTTAATTCTAATTTGTTACTACTAGTAAGGCACTTGTTACTACTAGCGTGGCACTTGTTACTAGTAGTAACAAGAAGCTTCAAGGAGAAGTTGCAACTCCCAAGCAAGTCAAATGGTCTCCCCTGCCGGCCTACCGTGTTCCGCTTCTGCTTTGTCCTGTTGCCTGAGCGTGTGCCATCTCATTCTGAGAGCCCAAGTTCAGCCACGGCCACAATGGTCTTGCACGCTCAATATGAGGTTTCAGCATTGTCAAGATGCCGCAGACTTTGGCAGCACTGCTGTGTGGCTTGGCACAAGCGACAAACCATCGTCACAAAACCTCTCGAACTCGATCGAGTTCTCCAGGTTCTGCCCACACGGACTCACGGCCACTTGCTGGAGCGATTCCGCCGCTTGGAGACGGAGACGAGACGCGACGCACCGCAGTGTGACGTCCGGCGAAGGAGAGTTGTGAGCCTTGAAGCCTTTTGTTTGTCGAAACCTCGTTCTTTGAGTTGGACAAGTGCAGAATTTGTGAATATGTTTCTCTGGACATCGGTTTTAGAATGTTTTAGATACTTGCGGGATGCCAGTTTTGGTGCCATGAGGTTGAAGGTTTCCCGTGTCCGGGTGTCATCATCGGCGACCAATGTGAGCTGCAAAGAAAGATGGCGACTAAAAAACACATGTTCTTTCCTTCAAACTGAGGTTTGCACTCGCTTCTTTCATTTTCTATGCATGCCAAGCTGACACTGAGGCCCAGTTTTATGGGCTCTCAGCATCGGTGCAACATCTGTCTGCATGTCCAACTTCGACTTTGCACATGTCACCTTGGATGCTGAATGCTCTCAGACCAAATTAGTAACAATGAGCACAACACAAACCCCGAAACTCTCATGCTCCCACTCTCCACCAGCTTTGATGAGTTCCACATCTTGACATCACAAATCCAACATGAATAGCATGGAGCCAATCATGGAGTTCATGGAGCCGCGATTGTTTTGTTTTCCATTTCTCAAGGTGCGGTTAGCTACTGCGGTTACTGCGGTTGGGTCGGAATGTTGAGCCTCTCCTCTCCAGCGTCATCCACACAAGTGCTGCCACTCTCACCGCGGCTTGACGTGGCGCGGTGTGGCATGTGTTACCTTGTGGCGAGAACTGTTGTTTGCTTGTATGTTCGGTGTATCAAGGTTTTGCAATGTTTTAGATGCAGCGAAGCGGTGCCAGGTGGAAAAGTTGGAACGTTTCCTGCAGCTCAAAGCGCAAAGCGCTCAAGCGGACCAGGCACAAGAGAGGTTTGTCGGTGTTTCCCTCTTGATGCGGTGGTGTTTGTGGCACTAATTAGGTCAGACAGATATTGAGTCGACAGATTTTGAGTCTTGGACTTCAAACCAGCGGTTCTTTTTTGGCTGATTGCGACCCACGATTTCACCTTAGATATTAAAAGAACATGGCAGAAACGGCTCAAACGAGATGAAAGATGATGAAAGGAAGTAACGAACATCCGGGAAGCCGAAGGAACTTTTTACGCCTTTACGAAGTTTCTTCGAGGCCAAGGCGCTTTTGTGGCGCTGTGCCGCAGAGGGACGCGCGGTGCATCCCTTTGGCGCCTTGTCGGCCTCCGAGGCGAGGAGAAGCAGAGCAAAGTCAAAGAGTCAAAGTCTTTAAATCAGTCTTTAAATCAGTTCAATTTATTTCAAACACAGAGATTGAAAGAGTGGAGAGAAATGTGAGATCGGATTCACAACTCGAATCAGGTCAATGATCGTAATGTGTCTTTGTCGTTTAAGATTGTTTAAGTCTCTTGCCAGTGTGTGGACGCTTGATCCTGTACCTGCAGATCAACACATTGACACCAATGGTCCACCCTGCCGCTGTTCCTTGGTTCCATGGTTTTTCTTCATGCTACTACCCCTCAAACCATTTTCCTTCAGCCGCTTTCAGCCGCCGCGCGTTTCTGCAGACACGTGAACATTGTGTTAAACGTTTCAAGTGCGCTGACCCTTTCACCTTGCGGCTCCATCGGCCATTTTCCTGAGGAATTGAGTTAACTGCAACCCCATTGTCAAAGTGTGTGCCGCTGTGCCGTCCCACTTGGGTGCACAGTGTGTTCCTCCGCAAGGAGGCGCCGTTTTCACTCCGGACTACCGTGTAACTGATTCAGCGGACTCTCTGCACGCGTTGGATTCTCTTAACTGCCTCTCGCTTCACTACGGTATTCTCAAAATACAAGCCGCCGGGCTTCACGGTGTTTTTGCCACGGAAATTCGATCCCGCCGGGCATACGGAGAATTAACCCCGACGTGTTCTCTACCCCAAACACCCCAACCCCCCCTCCCTCTAATTAGGGTAACAGACTGAAATGGTACTCGACACACTTGTGTGTCGGTGCCTTTCCCTCTGTTGTCCCTTTTCTAGTCTACTCTACCCGGGCGGTGTAAGACTAAAGTCCCGCTCCCCAACTAGTGCACCTAATTCACTTCGTCTAAGTATTCAGTGATTCTAGAGTGCTAGGTATTCATACACACACATGTACACACACCTCCCTGCCCCCCCACTTTCTTTCTTGCGCTTTTTGTCGTTTCTGGGGCTTTCTCTCAAGCTTTTTAGGTTGTTCTTCAGGCTCGTTTCCCTACCCCCGTCAAGGGCTAAGTATTCATTGTTTGCTACTCCTACCTTTCTCTCTTGCCCTCTTAGCGCTGCTCTTTCTGGTTTTCTTTCTCTTGCTTCTAAGGCTTTTCAGGTGCCTACTTAGGTCCACCGCGAGAGCGCCGCAAGGCGGCCGATTGTGTGTGTGTGTCACACTCTGTTTCTAAGAGTTTTCCACAAGCAAGGGCGTGCAGCATCTGGGGTCCACTGCACGCAACGAAGCTACGACCACAGATGGGAAGGGATCAAGGACGCTTGATCCTGTACCTGCAGATCAACACATTGACACCAATGGTCCACCCTGCCGCTGTTCGTTGGTTCCATGGTTTTTTCTTCATGCTACTACCCCTCAAACCATTTTCCTTCAGACGCTTTCAGCCGCCGCGCGTTTCTGCAGCGGTTCCAGCGGCCATTTTCCTGAGGACTTGAGTTAACTGCAAACCCATTGTCAAAGCGTGTGGGTTCCCGAAAATCGGGTTCGTGCTGAGTCTGTTGAGTACACCGCAGCTAGGCAATGTACCACGTGATAGCTGTTGTCTCTTTTGCTTCTGCGTCCGCTTCGATATGCTTCGTGGACTCCGACGTCATCATTGTGGCGTTTGGGCACTCAGCAGGGAGCGGGATGGCTGGTTTTCCTTTTTGCTAGATAGGAAGTCACTCGACAGCTGCACATGTACAAGTCAATCAAGCATCAAAAGGAGGTTCTCAAGGATGTTGCTGGGCCTTGGCTAGATAATTAAGTGACCCCCCTGGCCGATCTGACTTTCGAAGTGTGTGCCGTGAAGATTAAAAAGTCTGATAACGGCTACACCTTTGGCCTATTTTTGGTTCATCCCACCTGCTCTGAGGTTGAGAAGAAGCAATCTTCTTCTTGAAGGGTGGAGACTATATGTGTTGATTTAACCAGACTTCAAAGCTGTATCGTTTTAGCAAGCAGTCAGGAGGCTGAATTCTAGAATATGTTGGCTTCGATTCCAAGCGCATGTGTGTAATTTAAACAGGCAGAATGTCCATGACCTTGCCGCATTCAACCTCATCAAGTTGGGATGTTGTCGTTGTTTCCATCTTTTTCCTGCCAGGTTTTTACACAGAGTGAACGAGTGGGAGTAAAAGCTGGAATAAGCATGCCCCACACTCGCTTGCAGGTGTTTTGCTTCCCGCATCTTTACACCAAGACAAGACGTTGCGGAAAAAAGAACTGCCTCATTAAGAACTGATAACAAGCGACCCTGAATCGAAGATCTTTTTGGATGGATGGCATTCACAGTTTCTGGATAGCTGTCATATTTGTTATCTCATGGCACTGGAAAGGTGAGGCAAGCAATTGCCAGCTTCGATCAAAAACCTGACGAGCGCGAGGGGAGGAAGCCACTTGGTGGAATGATTTGAAGATCAGACACTGTGCAAGGTACTACATTGTAGTTCTAGTTTAACAAATGCAACTGAGTGATGCTTCAATGCCCGATCGTCCTCGTTGGATTCTTTGTGAAGCCCCTAGGCCAAGTTGGGCTGCTCTTGAGGGCGCAGATGGGCACAGCATAGCAGAGCCGGCGTAGTTTCAAAATGCGGAGTCAAAGACGATTAAATTTTATAAAGGTATTTCAGATACCGTCATCGTTTCCCTTATGGTTTTTAAATGGATGGCAGGGCAAGTCCCAAGCAGATGTGGTCAGCCTGGACCTCGTGGAGTTAATTTTGTTTGACAGAACAAAGAAATGCAAAACAAAAGTATTAATGAAGAAAAACTCTCTGAAAACCAACTGTCCGGTCTTTTAAAAGTTTTGAAAGGAAAAGCAAGTGGCTTTGCCCATTGCTGCCCAAGGCAAAGCTCGTCCGCAAGTGGACACCTGGCTGAAGTGGTGGCCGTTGCAGTTTTCGTTTGATCTCAAACATGAGGTCTTTGGAGCACACAGGGAGGGGTAGGAACAAGAACGCTACTAGGAGCAATATTCGCTATTTCAAACGAATTAGATAGAATTTAGTTCTTTTAATTAGAATTCAATTAGCTTTCCTGAGGTCTTTGGAGCACACACGGTCAACGATTCTTTTTTCATATGAAACTTTGATGTTATCCATCTGCATTGATCTGCAGTTAAAGTGTTTGGCGGACAGTCCTGCTGGGAGGTCTTTTCTATTTTCGAGCCACATCAACCAAGGTGAAGGAGCTAGCGCCACTTGGTAGATCTTTGTCTCGTGGGTGAAAGTAAGACCTGGGATTGAGGCCTCAACTTTGGATCTTTGTTTGCTATGTGTGCAACGAAGATGTTAGAAGTGTTTTTTCCCGATGCTTTGGCTTTCATTGCCAAGGCTGTATTTAAGATCGCAGACGCCAAAAAGGCCGGACGCACCATTCAATTGGCTCGTCGATGCAGGTGCCAAGCAAGTTTGATCAAGTCTGTGATCCTTTGGTCCTGCTGTCGATGACAACGCCGTCGGCAGGTCATTGCACTGCACCGATATGAAATGTCCATAGTTACCCCTTTCCATCCTCAGGATCTTTAGTTGCAGAGCTGCCGAGATGACAAAACGAACCGACGAATTGTTTTGAATTCTATTCCTAGACTCATAGAAATCATAGAATCTCCACATATCTCCACATCCTCACCATGTGTCAGGTTGGAGGCCATCGCTATTAGGTTGGAGGCCATCGCTATTAGGTTGGAGGTCATCGCTATTAGGTTGGAGGTCATCGCTATTAGGTTGGAGGTCATCCCTAGTAGGTTGGAGGCCATCGCTACTAGGTTGGAGGTCATCGCTATTCGGTTGGAGGCCATCACTATTAGGTTGGAGGTCATCGCTATTAGGTTGGAGGTCATTGCTATTAGGTTGGAGGTGGTCGCTATTAGGTTGGAGGTCATCGCTGTCAGGTTGGAGGCCATCGCTAGTAGGTTGGAGGTCATCGCTAGTAGGTTGGAGGTCATCGCTATTAGGTTGGAGGTCATCACTATTAGGTTGGAGGTCATCGCTAGTAGGTTGGAGGTCATCGCTACTAGGTTGGAGGTCATCGCTATTAGGTTGGAGGTCATCGCTAGTAGGTTGGAGGTCATCGCTACTAGGTTGGAGGTCATCGCTAGTAGGTTGGAGGTCATCGCTAGTAGGT